TAAGCTTAGATTGCCTAGGTTCAGCTACCGAATACAAACGAAAAGTACCCTACTTATATACTAAGGGTATGAGTCAAATACGAGTCAGAAATATGAGTTCGTATGACTTGTGTAGAGTCATACGAGTCGTATCTAGTCTATAAGAGTCATATAAATCATATGAGTCAAAGTGAAGGAATCTGACTGGAATGCGTGTCTAGAACTGTCCAGTATGGTCTAGATACGTCTTAGGAGTATGTAAGTGTCTGCATGTATATGTAAGAAAAAGAGTCTGTAACACACCCACATAAAAATCCAAATCAAGCACACTTCTTTTTCTGTCTAAAAATGGCTGGAGCATCAAAGTGACAGCCTGTTGGTTGCTGCACCACTAGGCAGCACTCGACCTACATTACCCGCAGCCAGGGTTTTCCAGCCTGTCGAAAACATAGCAGGTACTCCGTTAAATCTTGAAACCTTTACTCAGCATACATACTCAGGATTCCAAATAAAACCTTGGTCAAAAGTCCATCAGGAGCGCACGTCTGGGACCAGCAGGAATGCGACGGGCCCCCCTGCTCCCCTAGCACACTCTGTAAAATAACAATGTCATGGCTTGAAATTGCACATAATGGTTTCACACTACATGGTGGGGGTTTAATTTATCACCCTGTCCAAAAATGAAAGCAGAATCAATAAAATAGCTGAAAATTGCTTTATTCTGATGCTCAGAATATACACCACTGGCGGCCTTTAAGCTGGAAACCAGAACACCATGTTGGCATATTATATGAGATATCTTTACAGCTATTAAAGATTGTGTAGCACACAGACATCTTACCGAGGACATCAAACATCTTAGCCATGACTCCCATGAGCTCTGCTTGACGATGGTTTGTTTTCTTGGACCTCCCACAATTGCATACCACCAGAATAATCTAACATAAAAATCTGAGTGCTGTTATCTTTAACAACTAGTCCATCTTTAACAATAAGAATACTGAAGAGTTTCTCGAGGCCTGAATTACACGCTGAGAAGTTGAAGTGCCCTGAGTAAATCAGTACTACCCAAATTGTCTCCAAATTGTTCTTCAAAAAGCACCTGTACCTTGTGTCGTGAGATCCATATCATCAAATACTATATTAAAAACTTTTCAAGAGCGTGCAGTCAACACTGATGCCTGCAGAAAAGGACCCTTGCAATATTTACTATAATGATGCTGTAAAAATCACTTAAAATCTTGGCTACCTGCTTCACCCTATAGAAAAAGATACCAAAACCAGCTGTAAGATAGCCCAACATCTGAAAGAAATGTGTTATCGAGTTGGCATTGAAGAGGATGTTGGCATAAAACCACGTGACCTCATACGTCACAATTATGACATGTGCTGTGCGTATTACGCAGCACTTACACATCATATGCTGTACATTGTTCTACAGCATTCCGTATGATTCTATGTCAAATATGCGTACATAGTAGCACGGACCATCTCTGTAGAGTATATAAGGACGTCTACTATGCCCTAATAGATTAAGTCTTTTACTTCTAGCTAGTCTTGCTTAGCTTCGCCTCTACACACATAACACCCAAGGTAAGGGCTATGGTAGTGTCAGCTACCTCTGCGCTGCGTGTCCTACACGTGATACATGCCTGTTAATAGGTTATGGGCCCCGATGTCGAACGACGTGCGCTACGGCTGCATGAGTTCTGACAAGCCTTAGCCTTAACAACCTTTGGGCTTGATTGTGCGCCCTCTGGGCTGCACATTGCCAACAGTTCGCTTAATTGCTGAACGTTGTCAAGATTGTTCGCCTCACGGCTGAACGTCAACGCTGTTGCTGTCTGGACATTGACTCTAACGGAGTCGGGTTCATGTCAAGCAGGATGCGCAGTGCGCCTTGAAGGCTGCACGCTCTTAGTTAAAACATCCATGCTGACTCCACCCAAGTTTTTATCTTTCAGATATCTTCTAACAACATGTCCACCAACAAATCCACTTCCCTCTCTGTTAACGACATCCCTCACTTCAACGGTCGTAACTTCCAGGGTTGGTCTGACAAGATGATCGGCATCTTTATGATTGCCAAGGTCTACGATGTAGTCAAAGGCGACCTTGTCAAACCCGCCAACTCTGAGAAACCATCTGCTATCAGACCACCTGCCATGATCACTGACGAAACTGACGCTATCACAACCATGAAGCTCAACGCTCTGTGGACTCAGTTTCAGGTTCAAATGAACCAGTCTAACTATCTACTTGGCATCTGGGAACGGAAGAATTCTGCCTGGACCGATGCTAATTCCCAAGCCATGGGAATCTTTAACCGAGCCCTGGATATCGGGATCTGGGATCAAGTCAAGGCGAAAACCGCCAAAGAGACTTGGGACTGGCTGAAAGAAAAGTATGCCAAGAGTTCCCACCTGGAGATCATGGAGCACTTTCGCTTCATGAAAGATCAGAAGATTGATCTCTCCGATCCCAACCCTCAGCTCGCCAAATTCATGCATCACTACCAGGCACTTCCCCTCAACATGATCAGTTCCGCAATGGCTGCCATCATTCTCCTTTCCAACCTCCCGCTGTCAACCAATCCAAACGTTAGCAACGTTTATCAGAATCTCCTTGAATCTTCCTTCAAGGATGAGGTCGCCACCTCTCTCGTCCTTGAGGACGTTATGACTCAGATACGTGACGTCTGGCAAGCTCGCTTCCTCACCCTCGCATCTCACGATCAGCCCCGGAAGGGGACTACGTACGATAAAGGGAAAGCTCCAGCTAATCAGCCGTTGCAGCAGAAGCAGCAGAATCAGGTACAGCGGAATACCGCTATCAAGGGCAAAGGCCCTACGCCTCAATATTCTCAGCAGCAGAGCGCCGAATCCGGCAGCTCGCAGCAGAAGAAGAAGAGACCCTTCCGACGTGGAGGAAAAGGAAAGAGTGCAAACAACCACAATCATGTGGCTGGAGCCTCTGATACTTTCAACTCCGATTTCGTCCTCGCATCATCGGCAATGCATATTGTCGATACACTAGCATTACCAGCCCCTACAGCTCACTCCGTAGCTTCTTTCAGCGCTGCCGGTCCTTCGATCCGGCGCAAAAGAACTACAGGGCCATGGAAGAACCCTGGGAGGTCTACTCCTCCTTACCCCCATGTGCAGCGATCCCGCGATCTTATGAGTCGCCTTGGGGTAACACCCACTATCCAAACTTCGAAAGAGTTTGAGGGAATCGCTTCCTTGGAGGAAGTAACTGACGGATCCTTTGGAGCCCCCACATATCAGTGGGGTGCATACAAACTTACGGATCCAATCAGGGCTCCCACGCCAGTAATGGCACCATTGCTGGAGAGAATGCAGGTAGACGAACCGTCGCAGGAAGAAGGCGATACGGTATCCCTCGGAGACGAGGAGGAACCGATTCCTCAGGGATCGGATCTATTTGGAGATGACGAAGATGTTGGCGCCTCCATCCCTCAGGGGATGAAGCTGGATCTCGGTAGCGGTGAGTCCGACTACGGAGATGACAGTCCGGAGACCCTTTGTGGTCCGATCGAATCAACTGGCGCGGCAGGACCGTCGAAGCATGTTTGGAATATCGGCATTCCCCAGACCAAACGATGGTACGACAATGACGAGGCCTACGATGGTCCGACTGAGAATGAGTCAGTCCCATTTTGTTCACATAAAGGCGATTCACTAACTGATCCCTCTACAGCTTCTATTAGCGTAGACATAGGTAGATTGTTAGATAAGTATCTAGCCTATGTAAATGATAATTATTGCAAGTTCGTTCTGAATTGTTCAGACTGCAAGGGAAAGAACTCTAAGTTGAATCTCATCGAGTGGGTTGTTGATTCAGGAGCTTCTGTTCACTTCTCAGAAGACGAGTCTGATTTCTCGGAGTTAAACCTCTTTTCCGAGAAAGAAAGACCATTCGCACAAACTGCGAATGGTGCCGCTGCCATACACGGCACAGGCACAGTCTTTGTCAAAACGTGGATAGACAACCCTAAGTCCCCAGAAAAAAAGTCGACCACTATATCCCGCCTACATCCGGTATTCTATATGCCAGGAATAGGGATCCGTCTTCTATCTATGGGATTGCTTCTGAAAGGCAACATGCAAGTCAAGGGAGATGAGCGCACCCTTCGATTCATTGATGCTCAATCTGGAAAGGTGAAAATAGTAGCCGTTACCAGAATCTTCACCGATACGATCTACTGGATCAATTCGGAGATCCTCGCTGGAAGCGAGTTGATCGCGCACAAGTCCATGCATCTAGATGATTTCGATCTCTGGCATCGACAACTTGGACATCCTGGTCAACAGGTGTTTGAGAAATTCGAATCGAGTACACGGAATTTTCCGAAATCGATCGAGATCCCTAAAAATCCGCCGGTGTGTGAAGGCTGTGCGAAAGGAAAGATGCACTCCCGCTCTTTTCCCGATAATTCTGCACGCGCCACACGTCCGTTTCAACGGATTCATTCTGATCTCAAGGAGTTTGCGGTGAAATCTTACCATCACCACAAATATTACATATCGTTCCTCGACGATAACTCCTCTCACTCCTGGATCACACTTTGAAAAAGAAGAGTGACTCCAAAGTGGCAACCCAGCAGTTTATCGCTATGGTTAAAAACCAGTACGGAGCGATCATCAGCGAATGGATGTCCGATAACGGAGGAGAGTACATTGATCAGAACTATGTCAAACTCCTTAAGGATGCAGGGATCATGATCCAACGGAGCGTTCCGGCTCAGCCGCAAATGAATGGCAGAGCTGAGCGCTTCAATCGTACTATCAATGAGAAAGCGGAGTCAATGCGCCATCAGGCTTGTCTACCTGACAATTGGTGGGAGTTCTGCGTATTACATGCGAACTACCTGTACAACCGCACCCCGATACGGCGCCTTGATTGGAAAACTCCGAAGGGCTATCTTGAAAAAGTAGACCCTGATATCTCACACCTACGTATCCTTGGATGTGGAGCGTACATCTTTATTCACAAAGATCTCCGAGCCAACAAGTTAAGTCCCAAATCAGAAATGATGACTTTTCTTGGCTATCGTGATGGTCGTGAATCGAATTTGATGTTCATGCGTCCACCTAACAACGCCATCTTTACTGCTGCCACGGCACTGTTTGATGAACGTTTGTTCCCAAGATGTGCGAAGAAGAGTAAAGTGCCACCTGTCACACAAATTCAGGAACCCGGAGAACCCGAGATCGTGATTGAGACAGAAAGCGTGCCTGACGATAATTCCGGTGCACCTTTCGCTCCACCCCATGATATATTTATTCCGCCAAGAGACAACGAGAGCACTCATGACGATGTTGAGCCTCATAGTCCTCCTGGATCGCCGCCACCGCAACCCCGACATGCTCCAGGGGGAGCACAGCGTGGTAATGAGCCGCCTCGCCGC